GTGTAACCTTGTGAACTAATCAAGGCCTTCACAGAGCTTAAGAGGGCATTCTCCAGCTTATGGGTTCTGAAAATAAGACAGTCTGGGGGGGCTGGGGATAGCTGAAGAAAAGAGTTCCATCCTCAAACCCCACTCCTGTTCCCATTTTTCTTTGCTTGAGCAGTTTGAGAGCAGAACAAGCTGTTCCACTGCAGCCAAGGAGGCAGGGAGGGGAAGATGGAGAAGTGACATTTGGTGCACAAAAGAGCAGGCTTGGGCTCAGTAGGTTGGCTAAGAGCACCTGGGAGTTGCTTTTCTGAATTCAGTTGTGAGAGGATTACTCCACGCTGCTCTGGAGAGATTGAAAGAGACTTGCAAACTGAGATTCGATTTCCTCTGTCCTGCTATTCTGCTCCTCTAGGTAAACTCTGGCTTTGACTTTAGCTACTCTGGCTGTATTTGTCCCTATAACACATTAACAGCCAATTGCCATTAAATTCTTTAATAAAGACATCAGAATAATGGATAAAAGTATAATTTTAGAGGTATAATTTAGGTGTTTATTTTAAATGTCATAAAATTCTTAAGGGTAAAGAATAGCAGAGGACTAAGAAATATATTATGACTCAGAAAGTTGTGAAGACTAAATAAAAAAAATACAAGTTAATGGTTATTTTGAGCTGGGAAGGATATTAACTAGAGGAGATCCTAAGACCTACACCAAAACTGGGGTAAATTTAATCTATTTGCTACTCATCTGGAAAGCAAGTACGCAGTATCAGAGACAGCATAACTTGGAATTGTGTGATCTTTTAGAAAAGCCATGACTTAGAAAAACCCCAACAGCAAACAAAACAAAACAAAAACCTAAAAGAAGGGACCAAAAAAGATGGTAGCTGATACTTAGTGTAGGCAAGCATGAGGTAATGTGTACTAAAAGGAACAATTTGAACTACTCATATACACTTGATGGTTTGCAAAATCACTCAAGAAAAAGATCTAGGCGTTACTGCAGACAGCTTAATGGAAACTTCTACTCAGGGCACAGTAATGGTCAAAAAAAGCAAACAAAATGTCAGCCTATATTAAAGATGGATTGAAGAATAATACTGGAAAGAACAACAACACCACCAAATACATCAACAAAGTATTCTTCATCTTAAGATCAGGATATTTTGCTTTCTTTATATGAAAAGAAATGGGAATAGCCTAAAAAAAATTAAATATGATTTAGGGACATTGATAAACTATAAAGTGAAAGATGTTTAAAGGGTATCAGAATTATGACATCCTTTAAACTAAGGTGGTTTTTTTTAAAAGAACTTCCCTGTTTCTCAGTTCCTGAGTTTGCAAAAAAGGTTAGCAGTAGCATGTCTGTCCCTTTGTCATATCTGCTGAGATAAGTGACCTACGGACTGTGGATGAGCTTCTTTTGAGAACAAAGTCTGATTATAATTTCCATGCTGCTTTAGAGAAAAATGGAAAGGGTCATTTCCTCCCAGACCCTCTCTGCTCTTCCAAGCCCAATCTGCAGAGCCCAGTCCAGTGCTGGCCCTTATCCAGCTTAAGCTCATGCCTACACCCAGCACCTTGTGTTCTGTCCTTACTCACTTGCTCAAATCCAGCCTAGCCCCCTAACCTGAATTCTTTCCTCCTTTAATCCCTCCCTTTCCCTCAACCCTTGCACTTAGATACTCAAACTGCCCTCTGCTGCTTCCACAGTCTCACACCAGTTATCCCTCTGCTCCCCCTGTGGCTTTTTAGCCCACCTCCCCCTCCTGCAGGCACATTCCCAGCTTGGTTCCCTCGGTGTGTGCTGCCAGGATCATCAGCACTGTCAGCCCCCCAGGAATTCCCTCCCCTGCAGTACCTACAGGAACTTCCCAGGCTTTGCAGACCCCTGACAGAAGCCCATGCTGCTGTTAATGTTATCTATTACTATTCACAGTAAACAAGAAAAACTAAAACCAGAGGTTAATTCACAGCAGACAAACACCCCCTTCTCCCCATGCACACCACCCACCTTGGGGCTTTACCATGCCTCAGTGCATAAATTGCTTAGAAATGAATTAAGGCAGGAGATTTTTCTCCTATCTACGTGTCAGGCCAAGTTGAAAGCTGACCTGTGGATTAAGGACAATGATATACACCAACCTCTGTGGTTCCTAGGGTAGAGTGCCTCCTATAAATAGATGTTAGAATTGTAAATTTAACATTGTTTAGTCTGAGGATAAGTGAGGAAAATGGGAAACTCATTTTCTCAGCAGTAGCAGGGTGTGGAGTGTTGTTTTCTGCTGAGGATTATTTTTATTTTTATTACTAAACTCTTGAGAGCCTAGAGATGTCACAAGGTCCTTTTGCTGTTCTGGGCTGTGAAACCAGGAGAGGAAAATATGAACTTACGCAGTTTTATATAACTTACAAATGTGTTTAGCATTTTCTGTGACAGTGAAGGCAGTCAGAAAGTTTAACTGTTTCCTTTGTGAACTTTATTTTGTTTTTCTGGAAGTTTGATCTGTTTCAGAGCAGGGGCAGGACATTTTTCTACATAAGCAAAATAATGTCTAACTACAATAAAAAGGGGAGAAAGAAAAAAAATCTGAAGTTGTGCTGTGAAATGGCATTATTACCTCTCTAACAGGACACATATGGAATAGTAGTGTGCACGTAGGTTTGAGAGCCAGGAATAAATCAGTGCTAGTCTAGACATGCTGATTCCAGCTGTGGTCCTGAAACAAGCTATTAGGGCTAGAACCTGATTAATTCTAATGTCCATCTGGAGAGGATGGTGAATGGAGGCAGAGTAACTGTCCCATCAGAGCTGTTGGCTGAACAAGGGCTCACTGTAACCCCTTCTGTCTAATTGGATCCACAGGCAGTATCAGAAATCAGGGTGGTACATCCTATGGAATAGTGCCTTATCACATAGCCCCATTCTCTGCATTATAGAAAAAGAAGCAGAGGAAATGTCTTCATTTAATCCTGTTTTCCATTTCTTAGTATGGCCCTCATTTATTGTTCTCCGTATGCTTTCCCCATTGTGGTTATAATTAATGTGGTTCACTAAGATAGAAAGCCTATGTACTATCTATTTAGGGTGATTACCTCACTAAAGGACATAAATAAATATTGATACAATTCCAGAGAGGAAGGCACTACCCTCACAAAATACCTCCTCTCTCGTTCTGCCTCCCCTCAAACAATTACTTCATCTCCATTGATCTCATATGAATAAATAACATTTGCACCTCCTTTACTGTTATCTTATTTTGACACAGCAAAGGGATCCTAGTTTGTCTGTTTGCTGTAGGCTGAATTCTGCCATACTCACACAAAACTCTTCCCTCCACTACACAGACTTTATTCACCAAAGAAAAACCTCCCAAAGCCCTTGCAGACCTTATGAAAGACGTTTTCACTCACTTGGGTTAAATGAGCACTGTGTGTTTTCTTTCTTCCTTTTTTTTTTTTTCCTGGGGGTGGCGTAAAAAAGTAATAAATGAATCATTTCAACTTTGGGCAAGAAGTTTAGGTGTTGTATTTGTACCATGCAACTACATAAACACAGAAGGAGCCAGTTAACCAATGCATGGCAGGAATGAGAAGCAATGAGATGATCTAAAACATTTTAACACTTTTTCCATATATTAGCACTCGGACTAGTTGTGTTTTGCTTTCTTACAACAGACACAAGTCAGTAAAAGTCCAAAAGGAAAGTCTGAGGTTTTATATTTCTGTTTGTGGTACAGGAAAAGGGTTACGATCTCAGTGGTTGATTCAGTGAAATAACATCTCTTTTATACACATCTGCCTAGCAAGTAGGGCGGTAGTTGGAAATACCCAATCTAAAGCATTAAAGATTTGCTGGCAAATAGCAAGGCATTTGCTGCAGAGGAAAAGTTGTTATATTGAGTAGTCACTTTGAATGCTTAGGAATTACAGTCAAATATCCAAACACTGTGGAGTTACGCTGCATTTATTATTTTCTCAAGTATTTAACACACTGGGAATGGACTCTGCTGTGTATTTCATATCCAAGAAGGCATGATAATAGCAGATTAAAATAAGAAGATACTTGGCAATGTCAATGGTAAGTGGTATTTTTATAGCAAATTATTTAGGCAACATGCAGTCAGCTCTTTTTACATGTCAGTATGTATTATTTTCAACTGCTTTAATTTCAGAAATTGAAAGAGAAGAATAAGTAGATAAGAGGTATGTCACAAATTACATTTTTGTCTGTCTATTCACTGTTATCACTTTGTCTTTAAATTGTCTGAGAAATTTTAAGCAAATTATTATTGATCAATGATCAGCATTATGAATTAAACAGTATGAATTAAACAGAGATCCTCTTCATGGAAGTACCTTAATTTAGGACACTTCTGGTTTGTTGTAAAATATCTCTCCTCTTTCCCCTGATGTATACAAAAGCCTGCAGAGTGGACAAGAGACCTTTGTCAGTTCACAGCTTTCTTCAGTTTTGAATTCCTCTGTATACCTGCAAAATTATAAGAGACAGAAAAGAAAAAAAAAAAAATTTAAAACTAAAAAATATCCCATTGTTAATTAAATTTTATAAATAAGATTAATTAATTTCAAAACTAGATGGAAAGGAGAAGATATGGGGTTTTAACTTTTATTTTTTTAGCTTTTTATTAGCTTTATGCTAAGTCCATATTTTTACAGAATTTTCTCTAACCTTTCTAGTCATTTCCACTGTACTATGTAACTGAAGGCTATATTATTTGAATATTTTATTTTCCTTTAAAGAAGCAATACAGAAAAATGAATTTCTCCATGAGAACTAGATAGGGCTAGTATCTTATAATCTGAAAACTAATTTTGAAACTATTTTAAAATTAAACATTAATATGATTGTCTACTGCAGCTCCAGAGCATAGATCCAAGCAAGACATTCAAACACACTATTTACTCAAATCTCTGTATGAACTAGCCTATACAGGAAATCAGTAAATTGCTCCTGAGTCTGAGTCTCAAAGGGGATACGTATTTGTTTTGTCATGTATTATAAATAACATCTGTAGACTTGAAACCTTGCCAGCCTTATTAATGCAGGGTTCACTAAATGGTATCCTTTATTTTGCACCTCGTTAGTAACAGATTCAAGCAGAGCCCACAGAACGAGGTGCAGGCTGGTGTAGCACAGGGGTGCTGGTGCTGTGCTGCCCATCCTGCCAGTGCAGCCTGGCTTGGTGGAGCTGGGGCACCCTGATTTGGGCACTCAGCCCCTGGCCAGCACAGCCTTGGGACATGCAGTGCCTGCAGCAGCTTTGCCTCTGCAGGGGGATTGCTCCCAGGGTGGAGGTGGGGACAAAAAACTCCCCTCTTCCCCCACTGTCCCTGGGAACACATGACATAAAGCTCTGGGGCTGTCAAATGCCTCAATTTATGCTGAAGGACAGACCTGGCAGGTGGTGGCCTCTTTGTGGATTTTACAGCTCCTTGCTCTTAGGGAGCACCAGGGATGTGATCCTCTGCTTCATCTGCCTCCTGCTGTTTTAATATTTCTGCTCTCTGTATTACAGCATGGCACCTACTGCATGCCTTATCAAATGGAATAAGCTTTGTATGCAACAGATTCTGCTTAATGGAGATGGGTTTCAAGGATATTATTACTCAACATCAGCAAATTCTTGTTGTTTTCTAAAAGTAGTTGTTAATTATTTCGTCCATTGTCCCATGAAAAAAAAAAAACAACAGCAAACAATTATCTTCCAGTACTTTTCATCAGAGAAATTCTCACTCCACATGCCCAGAGAAGAAGGTGACCACAAGGCCATAGCCCTCTTTCTTTGATGAGGACAAGGATTCAGAAGTGAGGGAAAGCAAACCTTGGGTCAAACCAGCAGGTCACCATCAGAGCTGGAAGGAGATCTCCAGACTCTATTAGAGCATTCAGTCAAAAATGAGCTGAGGCAGATTTTCTGTGCTTTATAGTGCATTAGATATGGTTGGTAAGACTCAGCTAAGGGGTAGTTTACCTCTTTGCCCAAGATTAATGCTGAGCCTAAACTGATATTGTCAAAGTCTTAACATTTTTCTGATACCAGTTTTATATATTTAGGGTCCTTTCTTTAAGCCAGAAATAAGAAAAAAATCCCTTAACTTATGCAACCCTCAAAGGTCTGGGTATTCTTGACTGTTTATTTGAGTCGAGTCTTTAAAGTTTCAGTCAATAAATAAAACCACAAAATTTATAAGCAGTTCAAAATGTGTTGAAATAAAAAAGAAAGAACCAGAGAAAGAAAATCCTGGGTAATACTGCTGGTCATATTTTTGTCTTGGAACATGATTTTGGACAATTACTTGGGAGTTAAATCCCAAAAGAGGCTGCTTCTTTTGGGAAATCCAACTGAGACAAATAATATAGCATCAGTTCTTACAGAAATCATTATTAGGTATGCTCTGGATCAAAAATGAGCATACATAAGAAAAGGACACTGGAAATTTGACTTCCCTGAGTGCAGCTCTGTTGCAGGGTTGGGCTCATTCAGTGGCCAGATACACAAAGCCTGCTCTAGTAGATGGCACTGTGTTAAGCCTCAGCATACACCAGCTCTTTGCATGAATCCAGCCTTTCCAGAGAATCAGTTCACAAGCCAGCTCCGTGTCTGGAGGCAGAAAGTCTGTCCCACAATCCAGTTTATAGCTGCTCTTCCATGACACCTCTCACTCCGTGGTTCTGCTGATATTCATAAAAAATGCTGGGAAAGTGATCATAGGTATTCAGTGTGCCATACAGCAATAGTCAAGCTCTTTTGGGCCAACACAGAACAAAGGCAAATGAGGACACAGTGATAAAAGAAATGGTAACTAAGCAGCATGACAATCTGTCTGAGTGTATAGCAAGTTTTCAAGACTGGTGAAATAATGTCTTTACATTCAGATTTGGTGCTTATTTTAAAAGATAAACTTTAGCTAGGGTAGGAATTATTTTAATCACTACAGGAATTACAGGTTAATATTTTCTCTTCAACAGGTTAATCATGCTAGATAATTAGAACAACAACTTCTGGGCTTGAAAACTGATTCTGTAGAAAAATCAAAACCCAAGATCAGGAATCCTCAGCTGAGATCTCTCAGCCACTAGCTCTAAACTACTTAACATTAGATACTGCTCTGGAGGTGTAGGCTGATTTCAAAATGTGGAAGAAAAGTAATGTCCCACAGACACTAAATCCTAGACTTGGTTGTGATGCTGCAGCTGACCCCAGCACCATTTATGACACCTATGACCAAGGTATCATCAGATCTCAGGAAGCAGCAAGAATTATATTTTGTGCCTTACCAGGGACCTATTTATGTGACAGATTATACTGTTTCCCTCATGGGAAACCTGTAAAATAACCTCATTTTTCTGTCAACAGTGATGCTGGTGAGTGATGTATGTGGTGTGCACTGCGACTAAAGTCAGTGTTAAAAGCTACAGTATGGCAAAAAACCAAGACAGCTGCAGTTGGAACTTTTTACTGTTATCTTCAACACCACAAACAAAACCTGTCTGCTCAGCTTCATTCTGATTGTCACAGCCTTTGAGATAAGGTGCAGCAGATGAAATGTGAAGGGCCCTCAAGACTTTTCTAATGCAGACTTAAGAAGCAGCCTGTGTTAAGTAGCTTTGCCTCTGCCAAGCTCCAGGGATGACAAATACTCAGAAATAGCTACTGCTTAAAACTTGTGCTTGAAATGACAACTCTACAAATGTGGTAAAGTACTTTTATTCAGACACAAATATCCAAGAGAAGAGGTTGAGCAATTCATCCCCAATCCCTCACACAGCTAACTGAAAAAAAAGAAAAAAAGAAAAAAACAAACAAAGAAGCTCAAATCAAACCATAACAACACCCTGCAATACCTTTTCCCCTTCAAAAAACCCCCACAAACAACCCAAACCAACAAAGTCAGCCACTCAGAGAGCACCATGCATGTTATCTGTGAAATGCTGAAGGATAACAAGCCCCTGACTCTGGTGAGCCTGAGAGCAGCTGGAGCAAGTGGAGCCTGGACCAGAATGTGAAATACGGAGCAAATTCTGCCACTGGTTCTCAGGTTCTCATCTAAGTATATTCACCTTTTCAGTACTTCCATTCATTCACATCTGGCTGTTCAAGTAGTAAAGAATATGACAAAATCCAACATGGATTCACAGTAAGAGGTTATAAAAAAAGGGCAGGTCTAAATACACATTTTAACTGAACTCATGAAAAATACAGAGAAAATTTTCATATCACTTTTTTAGGAAGAGTAAATTCAGTTTTCTTTTGCTGTTTATGGTTTTTTCCTTATAAATCATAGTTAGGCTATTGATAATTCTCCTTTCATTCAGCCTAAAGGGCCCTTTATATCTGCCTACAGTTTAGGGAACTATAAATTAAAAGAAATACTAAGTCAGATGAAAAAGGAGCATTGTGTGGAAAGAAGAGGTAAAGTCACGACATTTTAAAATATTTGTTTATATTTGAATGACACCATACAGGAGAGCTCACATAATGCTTTTACTACTCTGGTGCTGCATTAAGTTATAAACCATGTATTGGTCAATGGTTTAAAATAAAAAAAAAGATGGATCTTTCCTTCAGTACAAGATATTTAGCAACTTCATAGCTGACATAAATATTTAGTGTCTCCCAAAGCCCAACATAATGTCACACATAGTCTATGTACACACTATATAAATATTAAAATAACAATACAGCCCACAACTCTTGGCTGAAAGGGTACCATTCTTGCCTCATGCATCCCTCCTACAGCCAACAAACTTTACACTCATAGTGCTGTACTTTTTCAGTCACACACTCTTAACACAATCACTTACATACATCACATGGGCTACTTTTTTAGAAAAAACATTGTATGCATAAAATAACATATTCTTCATGGAGCTCAAGGATATGGTCTTGAGATGAGGTAAAAATACTTTTTATGGGAGTGCACATTAGACCCTCTTGCACAGAACTATATAAGCAGTGTTTTACTGCTCATCTCTGGGGCACTGCAGCAAGAGAGGTTAGTAATGACAGAGTGGGAGTGCAAGTCATGAAACACAAATGTTTCTGGCAAGACAAGGTCTAGGAAATTTTAGTTAATTCACAGGAAAGCAATTCACTTAAAAATGGTCTAGAGGGTTGCAGAGCTGGATACCACCATAAAATAGTCAGGTAGTAAAGTTCACAGAAGGAAGTGAATTTTTTCACAAAGGATTTGAAGAAAAAGGAGGAGTTTCAAACATATGAAAGCAATGTGAAGCTGGAAGGAGGGGCAGAAGTAAAAAAGATAAAAGTATGCAGAAGATAGAAGATGACATCAGTACAGAGATCAATGAGAAAAAGATTCCATGGAGATGTGAAGATCAGAATATTTTTCCTAGTACAAGAACTGAACAAATCTTAGAGACAACAAATTTCAAATTACAAGGAAGTACATTTATATGTAACATATGAAACTCATTGCCTGTGGATACTCTTGAAATCAAAAGCT